GCGTGTATGTGAAAACATTTGGGACTAACAGGGTTTACTAGAATCCCACCACTCCACCACAGAGTCACCGCAGTAGACGTTAGATGAGCGCTGTCGCTCCGCGGCACTTGTTGGTATGTGAATGAATAAGGACTTGCCCCAAGACATATCACAGGGGTTTTGGTATTTCTTAAAAATTATGCAAATTAGGTAGATTTTGGCAGTTTCACTATGCATTTCATTGTCTGCCTACGGTCACCAATAACTCAAGAACCGTTTGACCCACATGTTTCAAATTGCATATATTGTTACTCCTATTTTGGAGCATGACAGTCGACCTACTTTCGAGCCAAGCCCACTTTTTGGCAAAAATGAAAATGGCGATATAGATTCATTCGACTTTGTTAAATTTACCTATTTACCTACCTACCTACCTACCTACCTACCTAATCATACTTATGTGTAATATTGTGTTTTAGATTCTTCGTTACAGTAATTTGACTGGAATTGTTTATTGCTTTTACTTGCGCGATAATCGAAAACCAAAATGGCGATCATTTAGGCGTAGCGCCATCTCTCGCCCAGATTTCAGACTTTCAGATCTGAAACATTTATTTTCGCATCAGAACTAACCCTGAAACAAAACAGTGAAATTTCTATTAGTATAAAACATTATAACAGTATATATATGAGTAAGGACATTTGATAACATTTCGGTCCGTCATAAATGAAACACTTACCAAATTTTAAATATCATCTCCTTCTTCTATCACACCCACGGTGAGCTATAGTGTCATTGACACTTTCATTAAACCAATCGTGATCCCTTTTCATGTGTTATTTCATTGAATTTTACCCGTTTTTATCTCATCTGACATAGTCAGATGCAGCTTGTAGAATCGCATGATTGTGCGTCCGTCCGTCCGTGCGTCCGTCAACAGTTGGGCACAAATCTAAACGGCTCGACGTATGGATTCGAAAGTCAGGACGTAGGGGGGTAATCCAAAAACGAGTTGGGATGTCAAAGCTGGGGGTCAAAGGTCAAGAGGTGTAAAAGAAGGGGGAACATTCCCTCCTTTTTATTTTTTAGATTTTTTATTAATTACCTGTTTTTCTGTATTTTTCTATCTTTATCCTTTTAACTATTTTTTCCCAATTAACACGAATATTTACATGATTTATTTACAAAAATTTAATAACAACAAATGATTTTTACAATTAATATTTTTTTTTTAATAGGGTTAGGGTCACAATGCACCATAAAACAGGAGTTTCAGGCATGCTATTTGTATCAACCAATGGGATTTGGGAGGTATGCAGAATGCAGAAGGTTGCTGAAATGATGTGTACGCAACTGCGTATCTGCATATCTGCGCCTAACAAATGTGTCACTACGCACGACTAAAATTTTACGTTCATAACCGTAGCAACACACCTCAGATGAGCCCAGATGCCACATGTATGCTAATAGATGAAATGTCGGTGTTTATCTATTTCTTGTAGTCGATGACGACGTTACAGGAAGTGCCTAAGGAGGAGTTCCAGTTTCTGGCTGGCATGGACAGTCTAGTGACGCTGGAACTTGGTGATTGTAAGACGTGGAACAAGGAGGTATGGTTGCAGCTTGTTATGTAGTATCGAATTAAAAACATTGTGGTAAATAAAATTAGTAATTAATAATATGACAAATGGGTTTTTAGCTCACATTGACATCGTCAAGATGAGCTATTGCCATGGGGTGTCGTCCGTCGTACGTCCGTTCATCCGTCAACATTTGGCTACGTTCAACGATAACTTGAGAACCGTTTGACCCACATGTTTCAAATTGCATACAGTTGTTACTCCTATGCGAGGGATTTGAATGTCCTATTTTGGAGCACGCCAGTCGACCTACTTTCGAGCCACGCCCACTTTTTGGCAAAAATGTAAATGGTCATAAGTCAGTTCATTTTTGGTATGTGAATGAATAAGGACTGGCCCCAAGACATATCACAGGGGTTTTGGTATTTCTTAAAAATTATGCAAATTAGGTAGATTTTGGCAGTTTCACTAATCACTATGCATTTCAGTGTCTGGCTACGGTCAACAATAACTCAAGAATCGCTTGACCAACATGTTTCAAATTGCATACAGTTGTTACTCCTATGGGATTACTTAGGGTTTTAACGTCCTATTTTGGAGCACGCCAGTCAGTCAGTTTGGCAAAAATGAAAATGGCTATCTAGATTCATTCGACTTTGTTAAATTTACCCACCTACCTACCTACCTACCTACCTACCTACATATCAACCTACCTACCTACATGCATGACTACCTGTCTTTCTGTCTACCTACCTGTCTTTCTATCTACCTCTCTACATATCAACCTACCTACCTACCTACCTAATCATACCTACGTGTAATATTGTGTTTTAGATTCTTCGTTACAGTAATTTGACTGGAATAGTTTATTCCTTTTATTTGCACGATAATCGAAAACAAAAATAGCGATCATTTAGGCGTATCACCATCTCTAGCCCAGATTTCAGACTTTCAGATCTGAAACATATATTTTCGCATCAGAACTAACCCTGAAACAAAACAGTGAAATTTCTATTAGTATAAAACGGGGAGTAAGGACATTTAATAACATTTCGGTCCGTCATAAATGAAACACTTACCAAATTTTAAATATCATCTCCCTCTTCTATCACATCCACAGAGAGTTATAGTGTCATTGACACTTTTATTAAACCAATCGTGATCTCTTTTCATGTGTTATTTCATTGAATTTTACCCGTTTTTAGCTCATCTGACATAGTCAGCATGCAGCTTGTAGAATCGCATGATTGTGCGTCCGTGCGTCCGTCAACAGTTGGGCACAAATCTAAACGGCTCGACGTACGGATTCGAAAGTCAGGACGTAGGGGGTTAATCTGAAAACTAGTTGGGATGTCGAAGCTGGGGGTCAAAGGTCAAAGGTCAAGAGGTGTAAAAGAAGGGGGAACATTCCCTCCTTTTTATTTTTTCGATTTTTTATTATTTACGTGTTTTTCTGTATTTTTCTATCTTTATCCATTTAACTATTTTTTCCCAATTAACACGAATATTTACATGATTTATTTACAACAATTTAATAACAACAAATAATTTTTACAATATTTTTTTTATTTATTTTTAATAGGGTTAGGGTTAGGGTCACAAATACAATGCACCATAAAACAGGAGTTTCAGGCACACTATTTGTATCAACCAATGTGATTTGGGAGGTATGCAGAATGCAGAAGGTTGCTGAAATGATGTGTACACAACTGCGTATCTGCATATCTGCGCCTAACAAATGTGTCACTACGCACGACTAAAAGTTTACGTTCATAACCGTAGCAACACACCTCAGATGAGCCCAGACGCTCTGCGGCTCTTGTTTCATGCCAGTTCTTTAATTGTATTGTTCAGTCGTGTATGTTTGGTTAGAAGCTATGTGTCTATAGGCTTGTATAGCTACACTCATTTTTAACTTGCGCAACTTGTTCCAGACGTACGCGCACCTCGGTCAGTTGTCAGGGCTGAGGCATCTACGCCTGGAGCACGGGGGAACCGTTCCTGATACAGGGCTGGCCGATGCCATCGCTAACATGACTAGGTGAGGTGATGTGAGGCACGGCTGTCACACTGCATTACTGCAAAACTCGCGCTGTCTACCGTTGATCCTATCAATTCTTGACACTGTTTCAAGAAATGGGGTCGAACTTTCTATCTTCTTGAAGTAAAAAGCCTTGTTATATTGTTCCTTGAACACTTAGGCCGGGTGATCATATCAACTTTTGACAACTTTTTACGAAATGGGGCCTAACCTCATACTCTTGAAGTAAAAAGATTTGTTATATATTTGTTAATATATTGTGCCTTAAGAACTTAGACCGGGTACATTTTTCTAAACATTAAGATATAGCTATTCCTGGCCTGCAATAAAATGTTTGTTTGCTGTACAGTAATCTATACTCTGTATAGTTCGCGGTGGTTTAATTTTCGCAAATTTCGCGAATGCGTCCCCGACCGAAAATCACGCGAATAATTCATACCGAATAATACCGAATAATTCATAATTCACCGACCGCGAAATTAACAACTCGCAAAATTGTCCGTCAACTCTGAATTCGCGAAAAATATGGCATATAGAGTAAGTTAGATAGAGGCATTTGCTGGCTTGCTTGCAGGTTGGAACATCTGGAGCTCATCATGTTCACAGTGGCAGATACGCTCGCTGGCTCGTTGCATCAGCTCAGATATCTGCACACGCTCACAATCTGGCCCGACGTCCAACAGGTACAGCAACTTGAATCTTTGTGATTTAGAAAGAGAGCGAGGGGCGGAGAGAGATAGAGAGTGATTCAGAGATAGAGAGAGACAGGAAGAATAAGAGAGATACTTGTATCTGATATTATTATATTAATGTATATCTAATTTAGTGATCCTACTTAAATGTTAATGTGTCCCTTAAAAAAGTTGACTGGATCATAGTATGTTGGGTAGATACGACAGATTAAGACAAATACCTGAAATAACTCGAGAGAATGTCAATACTCCAATTGCTAGGATAGAAATTGCACATGTAATAGCATATGTAATTTTTAATCAAAACTGTGCATTGTTTTATTACTTTTTTACTGTTGCTATTTTTTTGATTTTGTTAATTTTACATTTTATTTTTTTCGGCAGCCCGCTCTCGTCAACACAAACGTCTTCAACATCCTCTCCTGTCTGCCGAAGCTGGAGATGCTAGACTGGGGCGTACTCTGCGAGACGAACAACAACAAAGACTGCGAACACGATAAGAACTGTGAGACGAAGGATCTTCCAAGCGGGAAGCCGACTGAAGCTCCGGAAGTCGGGACGAAGGTTTCCGAGCCCGCAGGGAGGGCGAGCCGGGCGCGGCGGAAACGAGACAGGGATGCGAAGGATGCGGGGGAATCTGGCATCCCGGTCGGAAGCGTGGAAGAGAAGAGCGAGGTGAAAGTAGGCGAAGGGAATGCAGATGAGGTGAGGAAGTCTGAGGATGGATATGGAAGTCCGATAGATGAAACGGGGGCTGGTGAGTCTAGAAAGAGTGTCGTACGTACAGACGAGACTGGAATCGTAGAAACTATTGCAGACGATCTCGGCAAGGATGAAAGAAACGTGGATGACTCCAGTAACGATGACAATGATCCCGAGGAGAGCAGAAACAGTGAAGCTAAGGCTATTGAGGGTGAAAAGGATTGTGCTGAGGATGTAAAAGAGGATGATGGAAGTGCAAGTGAAGTCAGCAAAAGCGAAGAGAATGTGATTGATGCCATTAGTAAGGATGAAAGAAATGTAGAGAACTTCAGAGATAGTGGCGATATCGTTGATGCAACCAGAAATGTTGTGGTTAACATTGACACGACTATAAAATCGGGTGAAGCCAATGCAGGTGATGCTACACTCGGCGATTTGAATGAGAATGAATCTGTAAAAGATGTGGCTAATACCGACGAGAAGGAAACCGACAAAACAAGCTTGGAGCAAGATGGGAAAGTGAACGCTTCCAATAGCAACGCATCGTGTGTGAATAACACCGGTGACATAGAAGCAGACAACGCCAATAAGGACGACTCGAACGCAGCAGAAACAAAAATCGACACCGACACAGATGAAGCCAGAAAAGACAAATCGGTATGTGCGACCAAACCACACGGCGAAGATTCCTCAATCGACGGTAAGGACACGGGCGAGAAGCGAGAAACTCGAAGCACCGGTAAGGACAGTCCCGGCGAAAACCAACAAACTATTCACTCGCCAGGGGGCACTGCGTTGGAGAAACCGCCGGCGACGGGCGAACTGAAGTCGGTTAAGCAGAGCGCGTCGACGATCCCGTTCCTGCCCGGCGCGATGTACAGAGAGGGCGCCCACGAACAAGTGCAGAACAGCCAGACGACGGAGTACCTGTCCGTAGCCCAGCTCATGGACAGTCTGTGCACGATCCTGCCGGAAACGAAGATACGTATCCTGCAGATCCCCATGCTCGACTCCGCCGGGGCGCCCTCTGCTGAGAGACTGGACTAGATCGGCACTGGTGGTGCCACCTGGAGAAAAACAGCCGGGGATTGTTTCTGCTGTTGTGACTTTGTGCTAGAGCAAGGATTGGGGAGCTTTTGAACTGAGGGATTGCGTCGGGCTTGCCGTAGCGCCATCTGTTGAGAGGCCTGCTGAAGAGATGATGAACTACGCGGCTTTGCTCTGTATAATAATATATATAAGGTCTGGAGAATGCTTCTTCAGAGCAGTATTGCAAGATGATTTTCCTGTTTTGTGACGTAGTGTGTTCATGTAAGGAAGGTCGATTGACTTAAAATAACTCTATGCGATATTATTATGTACAGATGTTTGTGAATAGACAGATGGGAGTAAAAGCGGTTTTATTAAATTAATTGCATTACAAGGTATATGCTTTAATGATGTTAATATCCCTTCACAGTTAGCACTGCAAGTTTGGTGTTATGGGATAGCGTATTCTGGAATTAGTTTTAATGCTTATGGTGGCAAAGTTTTCATAATAATCTTGCATTTGAGAGCTATTGCTAATAACTGCATATTTACTGTACCTGTTAAATAGGGGAAACACTTAGAGTGCACTCTTACATATCCGTTGCTGAACATGGCTATTCTTTGGCATCCAATGAAACCGTAGTCATCATTTCAATTTAAATATGGCAACGGGATAAAGGAATCATGTGCATGACATATTTAGAATTGGGAGGCTGATGATCGCGAGCAAAATCAGGCCAGACATGTTTTTATTGGCGGCTGCAGTGAACAGGGAAGACAAAACTGCGTTTCATGTGCCGATCTTTACCCTAATAATAGTCGACTATAGTTGTGAGCCTCTTTTTCAAAACTTGAGCAGAACCTAGCAGGCTAACATGCATATGGCATGCATTTGTTATACTGCATTCCTCTGGATCATAAACAGATGGGGGTGATACGCACTCCGATTGCGATTCGCGGAGAACCAAATGAGGTGAAATATATTAGGTATTTAGCGAATATATGTCTAACTAAATTTCTCTCCTTATGTACAATGAAATGCTCTCAGAAAAGTGCATTATGCATAGCTGTTTACTGATTTGGACGTAGGAAACTGGAGTAACTTGGCAGTAAATTGTTCCTGTGACACAGTAATCATTCATGAAATACATTTTATCAGGAGTGAATAATAGATGATTAATCTATGGAATATAATCTATTATTATTCACTCCTGATTTTATTGATTAGCTATGAGTGGTATTTTGAAGGTACTGCTTATATACAGTTTAAATCACAGTAAAACATGTCAGAACAGCTGTTACAAGTGTAGCAAGCAGTGGGTGGTTTGCCTATAATCGAGTCATAAGTTGGCCACCGGGAGTTAAAATAGGGCTCACACATCTAAAATATCATCCAAGTATTAATGTGGCACCTGAGTAAAATACTTGGATAATACAAACTACTACATGTACAGACTATTATAGATTAATTGATTATTTAAAGTAATCATGGATGTTAATTGTTTTTTAGGAAAAAGGCCTGTGCTTTGCCAAAGGTTAAAAAATAAAATATTAAATGAAGTTATCGCTGTTTGATGTATTTCTTATACGCACTACGTGCTATAATATGAAATAATTATGATGCTGCTAGGCCATATTTCTAACATGGCAGGAAAGGAAAAAAAAAAAAAAAAAAAAGAAAAAAAAAAACAGAACAGGCCATATGGTCCGGGCGATAGGGCATATGGTTTGCATGGATGGTATAGTAGTTTTTCTTACGTTAGTTTCTTATGTGTCTTGCACCAAATAAGGCATTTCTAAACAACGGCAGTTGGTCAGTTGTGGGGAATTTTATTTTTAATGTAGATTTTATCATAAACCGCATCATAATAAGTTGAATTTGGATTAAATAAAGTAGTGTCAATAATGGAGTGCAATGCACTGTAAATTATCATTATACCAATCATTTCAGATAGCGCATTTGACATTTTAATTGTTGTAGATTAATACAAGCATAAACGTCTTGTGATTAGGCATGGAAAATGTTTTATATTTACGCTTAAAACCTTCCTTATGTTAAACACGGAAGCGGAAAATCCACGAGACAGACTGAAGTTATATAGAGTTACCGTACAATTCTGACTTTTCTGGTACCAATTTTAAATGTGTGCTGTCGTGTGTGCGCGTGCGTATGTGTGGTGCGGCGCGGTGGTATGTGTGCGCGGGCGGCGTGTAGGTATGTATGGAGTGCGCACGTAATACGTGTGTGTGGTGGTTTCCTGCTAACGGATGTAAGGTCGTAGTCTACAGTAAGAAATGCTTTCTAGAAGTTGCAACTTTAAGACGCGGCCATATAATAGCAAAAACGTGTTGTATATCTATACGTGTGTGCTGTGTGCGTGCGTGCGTGCGTCTCGTCGTGCGTGCGTGCGTCCGGCGGGCATGATAATAGAGATATAAAAGCTAACCGTTAATCTGACAACGAAGACTATAACAATTATATAAATTGCATAGGAATTAAATAGCAGTTTTAATACATAAATTTCAAATTCATCACAGAAATAGTACACTGTCCTAATCGAAAAGAATGTAAAAGATTCACATTTCTGCACCGGGCTCTTTGAGGTAGGCGCTGCAAATGACTGCATACTACTGTGCTAACGGAATGAATGCTTGTAGAAGTGTCTACTTTCACCGGCCATTCTGCTTCAAAGAAACACGCTAATAACAACAGCTATAAGGGCACATGGTGTACGATTAGCAGTTAGCAAAGATGCGGGTCACTGCTCGATGCCTCCTGATTCCTATATATATATTATATATATATATATATATAATATATATATATACGCGCGTCGCAACACAACCTTTTCACAAATTTTTACTGGCCTCCCAGCAGACTCTATGGGTGTCGTAGCACGACGGTTCTAAGCAGCATAAGAAGAACAACATTCTATCACACAACATGTACATAGACTGGAAACGGGAAATAGTGTTTAATTTCAGCGGACATGATTTTCTAACTTTGCTGCGAGTCTAGAATAATTTATGGTATTGCATTAAGTGCAGAATTCTTTGCTCTCTAAAACAAGACGCAACCGGCTTGTTAATACGATACCTCGCTAGGCTGGAGATATGCTTGTAAACTTCCGCCTCCCACAGGCCTCACGGCGCCGACGGTCGAATCCACATCAGTCAGCCTCCTACTCGCGGCCAAGCATTTTGGCTATTCCGTTTCCGTCGCACCGGCTTGGAGCGGCTGATAATTGATGTCAACATGCCCAAGATTTGGATAGCTGGAGCTACACCCATGAGTAAGTAACGTGACTGCGTTTGTCGGAGACTTAATTTAGAAAACATTGCGGGGCTCCATCAATGACGCAATTAGCCGTGCTAGAAAAGAATAATGGGAGATGAGGGCATAGGCAATCGCGCCCCCCGAAAGTCACCTTATGATGAGAGGAAACGGCCGGTTCATGTAGGTATCATAAAAGTTAGAGGGCGGAAACGGCGAACTTTCACGAAGCAATGCTTAGACGCGTGGAGGTTGCTGACTGCCGTGAGGCCTGTGGGAGGGAAAGTTTACGAGCCAATATCTCAGCCTAGGAGTATCGTATTGACAAGCGGTTGGTCTTGTTTTAGAGAGCAAAGAATTCTGCTTAATGCAATACCATAAAATTATTCTAGACTATCTGCAGGCAAAGTAGAATAATCATGTCGTGAAATAGCACTATTTTCCCGTTTTTCCGTTGTACACTCTAGGTATTATTAGCTCTTGATTCTATACGGTCCGTACGTGAATGGTTCAGATCTCAAAAAAAGAACACACTGAATTTAGGGCATTTCCAGCAATTTTTGGCAGTGCCTCGTATAAGCTAATAACGTAGCCTTAGGAAATATGGCTGCGTTATCGTATCCAGTGATCAGATCACATCAGAAACAGGGTGTACAGATGCAATGTATTCCCGATAGCATTGCGCCCTAACAACGCATCAAAAAAACTGGAGGTACGCCTAGCTGCTTTGTAGCTTTTACCGGCAGCAGCATTGCATTCCTCATCTATATATAACCGAAAACACAATATACGTAGAATTCTAAATATACATGTCCATTATATAGCCTATGCATCCTCTGGCGAGGGCACTAGGTCACCTAGCTGCTCTTGACTGAAGCGAAAGATTAGTAGTCTCGTATATAAATTTAATAAATAATAGAATAAAATTATCACTTAGCCAACGAACGATAGCCAAATCGTTTTTACGTGTTATATATCTTGAGACCGTAAGAAAAGGATTCCATCAAGATTACTCAGTAACATCGCAAAGTTTTACATCACTCCTCGGCCACCTAGGTATTTATTTGTTCAAGCTATGGCCCTGACTTATGCATTGTATTGGCTTGAAGCCAGGAGTTTTACATTGAGAAACCGATCTGCGACGGTCAGATCGTAGAATTGGGAGTCATAGTATCCAACCAAATAAACACCGGTATCTATGACCCCATGTAAACGCTATCTAATCTGACAAAGGTCATATGTAATACGCATAAATAGATAGATTGAGATGAGAAAACATTCAATAAGCAAGGTTCTCAAAAACTGTTACCTACTAATTGTATTGGCCAAACTTGATTTGGGACGAGATATTTAAACCCATCTAATTTGACTGAAATTCATCAGGTGTGCTTTACTAGTTTGAGCTTTCATGCCACGAATGTTTACCCTACTTAGTGGTATGCTGTTATTCTGAGTTCAAAACCACATTTATGTACTCAAGAGCCTTGTGCCAACAAAAATTGGCGACACAAGTTTATCGCATATACTATTACTGGGTTTAGGAACAGGTCAACTGACGTGTAAGCAAAAATAAGCGCACTGCTAACGGCTATCATGATTTTACCAACTCTCTATTAATGCATATGCATGTGCTAGCTGTACACTAGTTTAATATTTTATAATAAATATGATGCAAACAGGTACTCTGCATGATAACTGCAAGATCTGGACGAGGCGGCATGTTCTTCTTCTACCGGCTTTACGCACGCTTAAAAACTTCGCTCGCAAATCCTGGATATGTTTGCAGACACTATAGCAACGAAATCTACGCCATGTTCTGCGGAAGTTCCTCGGTGTGGTTCTCGTGGCCCGATATTCCGTGGTGCAGCTTGTTGTCCCTTATGCAAGCCCACGCCATGTAGCCGGTCGTGTAGTGCACGCCGAAGTTACCTTTGTTGTCGAGGACGATGACACCACCGGCGCCCTCTGTACGGTCATACATGTAATCAAGAGCCTTCTCTGCTGCATCTTTTGGTCCCAATCCTTTTCGATGGTAAAAAGGCGGTATTTTAGGAAGCTTATGTAATTAACGTCTCATGCAAAATAAATTTAATCTCTCAGAGCCGTATTAGCTTCAGTCCATTAATTGTAATAATCGTCAAATTTAAAATTTCATGAAACAGTAGTTTATAGTACTGAGCTATACCAGGTATCATGAAAGGATAACCATTAAATAAATTGTGACAAGACTAACACACAGCTTACTAAATACATATATCTGTAATTAATATATATATATATATATATATATATGAAATTGTTGATAACATAAATGTGTAAATAAAAAATTATGCATTCAATAGAACCTGAACTTTCACGTTTTAACCACATTTTCGTAAATATCAGTTACAATTTAAAACAATATAATTTTCTTGAACGATATATTCATACATAACCTGTAACCTCCCAGTAGAACACAACTGCGCTTCGAGGGCCCACATCCACGTATGCACACACAGCCGTACACGCCAGTGGCGTAGCTAGGAATTTTCAGTGGGGGGGGGGGCACTGGGGGGGCCTTACATTTTCATGGGGGGCACAATATATAACTTTTCTTTGTATTATACTGTTCTAACGGCATTGTTTTTAATCCAATTTTTTTTTTATCAAGCATGAATTTTCAGTGGGGGGCACCTGGGGGGCACAGAAAATTTGTGGGGGGGCTCGTGCCCCTTCCCCGTATCTACGCCCTTGGTACACGCAGGTACATGGTTATAATTACCTGCATCCATATACATGATGATGCGGCTTGCAAGGTGAACTTTCATGATGCTCTCACCATGTCCAGTGCATGACACCCCTCCTGTGACATTGTCTCCATAACATCCTAACCCTACGGTACAACAGAAAGCGAGATTGCTTGAATCATATGCGCTTATAGAATATACTGTCAATAATGGAATATGTAGTGGATTGAGACCAGCATAACTTGCATTATAATAGTGTGTTGTAATAGACATACCTATCAAGGGACTGTCTCCCACACGGCCTGCCATCTTGGCAGTAATGCCGCCAGTAGATGTTGCAGCAGCAACGTTGCCATGTGCATCAATTACCACTGCTCCTACAGTGTCGTGTTCGCCCTTCGCATGTTCATGTGTTTTCTTCACATTTCTAAGAATGAATACATCTGTATTAGCATATTGTGATTGTTAGTATAGTTACATTTGGATAAGGTGTCTAATACAATTGTGAGGTGTTTTTTTCACCAAGCTTAAGATGTTATTAACACTACATAAGATAAGAGCCTTTTTACTTCGTGAGTATGTGAATAAAAGTATAAAAAGCATATCAACTTAATTTTACTTACACTTGATAGTATGTGGTGACATTTAATGTGAAACTTGGACATTTGGACAAGAGTCGAGGTCATCATATGCAGGAAATGAGTACAAGGTGTTCCTACACAAACATTCCTACACAGTGCGCACGTAGATACGTGTGTGTGGGTGTTTCCTGCTAACGGATGTAAGGTCGTACCTACAGTAAGAAATGCTTCTACAATTAAGTGCACTTTAGATGCGCCATAAATTTACAAAAACGTGTTATATATCTATACGTGTGTGTGTGTGTGTGTGTGTGTGTGTGCGTGCGTGCGTGCGTGCGTGCGTGCATATATATATATATATATAAGCTAAACGTTAACTACAACCAAGACTATAACAATTATATAAATTGCATAAGATAAATAGAGTTTAATAAAAAAATTTCAATTCCATCACAGAATATACATGTCCTAATCGAAAAGAATGTAAAAGATTCACATTTCTGCACCGGGCTCTTTGCGGTAGGCCTGCATGACTGACTACTGATGCTAACGAATGAATGCTTTGTAAAGTGTCTACTTCCACGGGCCTTCTCTCAACAACGCTAATAACAACGCTATAAGGGCACATGGTAGTACGATTAGCAGTTAGCAAAGATCCGAGTACTTCGATGCTCCTGGATTCCTATATATATATATATATATATATATATGTATATATATAGCAGCGCGTCTGCAACACAACCTTTTCACAAATTTTACTGCCTCCCAGCAGACTCATGTGTCGTACACACGGTTCTACAGCAATCTGAAGAATAAACATTCTATCAAGAGCTAATAATACCTAGAGTGTACAACGGGAAAATAGCGCCGTGAGGCCTGTGGGAGGGAAAGTTTACGAGCCAATATCTCAGCCTAGGAGTATCGTATTGACAAGCGGTTGGTCTTGTTTTAGAGAGCAAAGAATTCAGAGAATTAAGAGCATAAAATTATTCTAGACTAGCAGGAAAAGTAGAATAATCATGTCGTGAAATAGCACTATTTTCCCGTTTTTCCGTTGTACACTAGGTATTATTGGCTCTTGATTCTATACGGTCCGTACGTGAATGGTTCAGATCTCAAAAAAAGAACACACTGAATTTAGGGCATTTCCAGCAATTTTTGGCAGTGCGTCGTATAATCTAATAACGTAGCCTTAGGAAATATGGCTGCGTTATCGTATCCAGTGATCAGATCACATCAGAAACAGGGTGTACAGATGCAATGTATTCCCGATAGCAGGGGCGTAGATAGCGGGGGGGATGGGGGGGATGC